GGTCAATGGGACTCAAGCAACCCACAGGACAGGAAATACAAGAATCATGTAACTTTATGTCCCATGGTTCTTTCTCTTTATGAACAGTATATTATTGCAGTCACTCTCAGCACAGAATTGCTCTACGTGCAGTAAGCAGGCAGAAAATTCAAATACATTTTCAGAATGAAAGATGTTACATTTGCAATGGCTAGAGCTTCTCATCTGGATTTTAATGGGGAGACAGTGCCAGCTCAATGATTTCGGAATAACTGTGCTGGTGGAATTGCTGTGCACAGGCTAACTCCTGGATTGCTTAAGAGTGAATGTTTCAATTTTCCTCCTTGAGCCTTGTTTGAGACTGCACAACATGCAACACAACCAAGTGTGGAATATAGCCCAGAAAATTTAAGACACAGACTGAAGATTGTTTGTATAGCACTCCCTCTTTGAGGACAGAGCAAGCAAATGGCATGTCAAGCTAATGCTTTTGTTAACCACAGGCAGTTCTGAAGTCAAGGCATTCTATGCACCAGAAAGTCAGATTTCTTTCAACATAGCTCTTTCCAGAACTTGATGCTCATGTTTAAATCGTTTTAGAATTAGGAATCCAGTTGTTGGGGCCAGAGTATAGACTAGGGAATATTTGTACAAAATATTTAAAGTTATTCTCTGGTTTCCCTGGATCCTGTTAATGTTTCAACATGGGCCAGTCTCCTTTTGCTGAAATAGGGCAGGCTGAGGTTAGGAAAACCTAAAATTAGTGGGATTTAAACTCTAATGGCTAGACTAAAGCATTAGTCATCTGGTGACTGATGCCTTAAGATGTCTTTGTAAAGAAAATATTTTTCAATCAAAAGAAACCAAAACAGTACACTACCTGTTTTGGGCAGACTAAAAATATATGTGTCTATTGGAAAATTGGTTGAGTTACAAAGGTTCTGAAAGTTACCCCAAACTTTTAAAAGTTTTGTCTTATGTATGTTACAAAATGAATATACACAGGGACTTCACATGACACATGTTGTGGGTTTTGCAATATTTAAAGATACACAAGTAAATAACCTTTCCAATAGAGCACCAAATTAGTGATGAAAATGGGTAAATGTTGCTGCCACTAACTGCTGTTTCAAATCCATCTCCCTGCCCTGTTCAAAACAACGAATTTTATAACCAACATGCAATTCAAAGGTTTGGAAAGGAAAAATTTTTACAGACAATTATTGTGAGAGCTGTTATTGGGCTAAGATCTGGTGTTCTGAAAACATCTGCAGTCTCAGTAAGACTTTTACTCCTAACTGTATGAGTAATTCTTAATTTTGGGTCACTTCTGAACATGAAGTGGTAGATCAGAGTGCTGAAGTGGTAGATCAGAGTGCTGTATAAATTCACATTCTTTATGCACTGATTTTCTTGGTTTGGTCTTTCCTAAAATACTTTATGTCCACTGGATTTTCAACGTGGCAGCAAATGCATGTTTACTACCCTGAGGCTAAACCACAGTGAAGAATTGGCTCAAGAAATGCATATATCCATCCATCCATCCACCCATCCACACATACATACATACATACATACATAAATACATACATACATCCAAGTTTTTAGCACATTTCATCCTCAAATCAGTTGCTAATCTATGTTGATATACCCTCTACAAGAGGCAGAATGGGGACATAGGCATTATTCCCTCTCCCTGAGAATCTTTACCCATGGCAAAAGTCACATAAGGATTCATCCTCACTCCCAAAAGCATATTGTGCCACATCAACACAGAAATAAAGAGGATGCCATCAATAAAACTTCTGAAAAAGGAAATATCCCTGACTTTTGGCTCCTATATCACATTCTCTGCTCAGTTCCTAGTCCAGAATTTCATCTAACTACACAGCATGCTGACCTCTTGAAACAGGCATTGGGCCCAGACTATGATCTTGCATATCTTACTAAAACTTAGGAACAAATCCATCAAAAAAACTCTGAATTTACATTTTCATAAAAGAACAGAGTTCCCTTCAAAAACAAAAATTTGAAGGCTAGGCTGTGAGAAAGCAGTGCATAGGAATTAGATAGAAAATAGAAACCCAAAGGCAAAGTGTCTAGAGACAGCTGCAAATGGATAAATACTGGCATAATACTTGTTACTCCAAAATATTGTATAATCCCAAATTATAAAAAATTCCCTGTCTCATTAGATGAGATTCAAAGTATAAAGGGTACATGTTGCAAATTTTCAATTAGAGGTGAACATGTATTACAGGACTTTAAAAATCTAGTCCTGGTTAGTTTGGAATTAGATGGTTATTTAGGAAGAAAATAGCCATAAATTAATTCAGACCTCAAATTAATAATATCTAAATTCAACATTTTCTGGTGGCTTTCAGAAAAGTATAAAAACACTTAAGTATATCAATATTGTAATTAAAATTGTCTTTAGAAATACTAAAAAGAAACAAATCCAAACATTATATAAACACAACTTTTTTAGTTCTGTCATCTAGTGGTTTGAGTCTTGTGCTGAATTCTACAAATGCTCTTTGCAGGAAATAGGCTATTTTTGCCTAAATTAGAACACAAATGAGGATGTGGTTTACTGACAGCGTGATAGAGACATAGATTAAAGTTGAGAACATTAGTAGGTGAATGCAATAACTCTTCCACTTCACTTGCTTCACTGGATGATAGTTGTTTTTGTTTTTTTTTTTTGCCCTAATGTAAGCACTGGTCACTGAAACAGATTATAGTGATTATAGTGATATTTATTTCAATGATACTATCAAAACATCATCTAACCAAGATAGTATTTCTGTAGTTCCTTCTGGCATCTTTGCCTTGCCTACTTCAAATCTGTTACCCTTCGTTACTTTTGACCTTAATTACTAATATTATTTCCTGGATTTATAAAAAAAAAATGCAAAATATATGTATTCATTATATGTATCTGACACACTTCACTAAAAAAAGTCGACTCAGTTTCAGTCATATAGTGTTTGGAAATGATAATATGACTTTTAGCTGGAAGATTTCTCTATTTCACTTCTGATTCAAAATCACTGGCAAGTACCAAGCAGACTTGCATAGAGACTGGGCTCCAGTTCTAGTTCCACCACAGTAAACACTGTTAGATTAGACTACAGTCATATTCATAAAGTCTAAATCTCCTGAAAACCATGAAAGTCTGAATATACATCGTGTGCATGGCACAGAAAACAATGTAATATCTGTCTTTTGTACAGCTGACTTATTTATTTTTGAAGCTGACTTTGTTTCTCTAACTCCCTTGCAAAGACTTTTGAGGTTCTTTGCATTACAAATGAAGAGTTAATTTGGGTGTAACCTCCAGAGCCTTTTCAAAGAGAGGAGAGGTTCTGGTGGCATTATGTATGTACAGTTTATACTACAGAGAAGGCCTTTAGCCAATGTAATAATGCCTGGGTGGAATTATGAATGCTGACCACATACAATTCCCATTGATTTGGAGCTGTGTGTGCTCAGGAGCTGTTACAGTTTAAAATCCAGTGTGGTACATGATGATCCAAAAATTTAGTTCAGTTATTGGAAAAAGGTAAATGAACAACAGAAGTCTTAGTTTGGTTTATATTTATCAGTTGGGAAAACGATCCTTTGGCTTATAGTACAAACCCTGGCATAGAAAATTATGTAATAGCACAATGAGCACAACTTATGCACAGTGTTTGTAGGGAGCAGATACACATATCTCCCTCTCCTCCATTACATGTGACTGTGTGTATAACACGGGGAATTACATTTAGCTCATCCTTACAGAGAAACATTAAAGTACTAATAGGTTAGAGTGAAGTCATCCTGTCTTGAAGTACACTTCTGGTAAGCACACTTCTACAGTGTGTTCAGTTTCCAGAAGAAATTTTGGCTGCTGGCTGTACTGGGATTGAAAACCACTTTATAAACCTGTGTCAGTCCTGTGTCTGCAACAGACCCACTGTGTGTGCCCCTCCAGCACATCCCTTGGAAGGAATTTTTTATTAATATAGATGTCCAGATCATCCCACTTTCTTGAGCTTAAATGGGTTTGATCACAGTATCTTTGAGTGAAGTATCTCACTCAAACTGCTTTTGATGGAAAATAAAACTTCCAAGTAACAAGGCATCCTCCTGTTGACCGCTGCCATTGCAGCCAAGGACCCAAAGTGTATTCCCATTGTCCCCCTGCAAAGATGCACTATTTCAAAAGATTATTCTTTGCAAGAATCTGCTCAGTTTAGATGTGGATTTCTCTGTTAAGATAAAAGGTCTTTTTCTTGCTGAGTCATTAATGTCATATATCCTCATTTGCCAAGTCTGCTGTTAGTTGGGATACATATGAAACCTGCAAAAAAATCTCACTGGCCTTTGTTCAAATTCATGGAAACTTATAAGAGATTTTACTTTCTTCACTAGCTTATATCAAATCAGACAGAATCTGTACCAGCTTTTAAATTGCTATAACATCTGATTTGTCTATAACAGAATTTGTCTATGTTGACTCGTTACAATTCTGAAAAAAAATCACCTCTGACCACTAACAAAGGGGGTAGTGTATCTTGAGAACTCAGTGTATGACTAACTGACATATACAATAAATACAAATGTTACTACAGTAACAGATTGAAATTATATAGTTCATTTAAACCTTTTTCCAACTTCAGCCTAGTCCCCGCTAAAGCACACAGGAAATAAACATATTGAGCTGTCTGGCACCAGGCAACTATCCAGGTCCTGTTCTGTCTAGCACTGTGCTAGGCTTATCCATCTAATCAACATTAGGAGGTTTATTTATGTGAGACAGATATATTAGTAATAAATGAATTTATTCAGTAGCTTGGTGGATTTATATATGTACAAAATCATTTTAGTTTAAGCAGACTTAAAACTGAGTGACTCCACTACTTTTATGGGCTGTATCCTGAAGCCCTTAGCACATTCTAGTCTCCTCTTCACAGGAAAAAAAATACAATCCAAACCACACAAAACCCCCCCCCACACACCAAAAACCCCCCAAAACAAAAAACCAAAACACATCACCAAAACAAAACACTAATTGAAGTCAATGGAATGTTTACTGGAGAAAAAACTGCAAAAGACGTAAGAACTGGTGAAATGCTAGTGAACATGAATCTAGCTAAGTGTCATTTCCAAGAGTAGTGGTATATTTATATACATTGTATGCAATATTCCATGTATAAAAGTCTGTTTCAATTTTTACAGCCCAAGATAGTTTGTACAAGAGAAACAGCTGGCAGAATTCAGAAGGGATATCTGGGTTTTCTTCATCACACCTATTTGTACTTTAGACAGACTTTGTTTTAAGGCATTAATTTGACATGCGAGTCAGGTCTGTGCTACGTTGAAGACTGTTTTCACTGATTCCTCTGTTGTTTTTTAGAAAACAAGACTGAGAATTCTCTTAGTGCTAAGGTTTATCCATTTCAATCAGACAGTGAGTGGCACATTCCCACCTCATTCGCAGTTTTTAATTCCAATTGCTTTTGAAATGTCCCTTTTCCTTCCCCCTTTATGCTGCCACTTGAAAGTTGAAATGCAGCAAGAATGTAACGTTAGGTGCCAGTTTGCTGAATTACAGGGTGACTGCTTTAGCTGATCCCAAAAAGCAAGTGTCTTTTTATACCGCATAAAAGCCTGAAATGTTTACATATCAAAAGGCTATAGGCCAATTTCTGTCAAAATTATACATGAAGTTAAGCAGTACAAGCAATTTATTTAAACACTAGTCATTGTAGAAAAATTCAAAACCATATGCTCTTTTAGCAGTTTTTCACAAATGCATTTGACCCATGACTTGGCAAGACATGCATGCTTCATAATTTACTCTAAATTTCAAATCCTCTTGACGTTTAAATAAAAGATCTTCATTAATAAAGTTTATATGAATGAAAACTTTAGAAGCTGATATTGTTAGCGGGAAGCTTTCAGAAAAATACCCAACCGCGTTTCTGCCTCGTTTTCAAATGACTGACTTTCCTAATCAGTTCAAGATAAGTTTATTCTGGGAACAAATTACGGTAATTCCGCATTGTATGACTTTTATACTTTTTTTTTTTCCTGGTGAAGCAATGATGCAATCAATTTGAAACAAACGTGGGGAGCGCTGCAGGGTGATGGCATTTATAAGTGAGAGATGTGCCGCGAAGCGCCGTTTCGCCGCCGGTCATCCCCCAAAGCCCCGGTTCACCCCGTTACCCCCGGCGTGGGGCGGGAGCCGCAGCCGGACCTGCTGGCCGAGACCAGCCCCGGCCGGGCTGGGGTTCGGCGCCCCGGGCCCCTCCCGGCCGGCAATCCCGGTGCCGCTTTGCCAGGCCGGTCAAAGACTCCGCAGGGAAAGCGATGGGTGCGTTTTGCATCCCAGGAATTATTCTTTAATATATTAAAAAAAAAAAAAGTCCGATTTCTCCGCATTTTCATAGACTTGTGTATGGTGATTGCTTTGTATGAAATCGTGTTTGGGTAATAATATTGAAAATCAGCGCCGTGTTTACCGTATTTCATACCTAACAGCTTGCTCTGCCCAGCGCTATGCTCCTCTTTAGATCCCTCTTTCAACCCATGCTGTGACCACCCTGCCGTAACAAACAATTGCTTAGCAACACTATGCAGCACAATTTGCTTGTGTTTCATTTGTTATTACAATTTCACCCCGACATTGTGTGACAACTGATTGTTTGTTTAACACAATTTTCCGTTTGCCAGGTTAGCAAAGAGCGCATGGGAAATGAGAAACTCCGAGAGCAGGTTTTGCGAAGCGGGTACCAAAACCGGAGGTTTCACGGCAAAACGACTCAGACTAAAACAAAACAAAATAAAAGACACCGTCCCCACTGGGCGAACAAAGTTATTTGGAAAATATAATTTCTAAATTAGGAATGAAGGTGAGAGTTGTAGCATGGTGGATCATCCGTCAGGAGAGCAAAAAACTCTTTGGGAAGCCGAGCGCCCGGCGGGCCCGGGCGGTTTGTGCTCCGCCGGCGCCGCGGCTCCTCCGGTGCCCACTCGTGTCCCGCGGTGCTGCTTTCACCTGCGAGAAGCCGGACAGGCGCGGAGGTGAAGGGATGCTAACACCCGAGAAGTCGGCCCCGGCAGCGGGTGTCCCCACCGAGGGCATTCCCATCTGGAGTCCCCGCAGGAAGCGGGGTACGGGGGTCACCCGGTTTGTCCCCCGAGGGGCGGCGGTCCCGGCTGAGCGCTGTCCCCGCCGCCCGCCTCCCGCGGCCGCGCAGCGCCCGTCCCGAGCTGCTCCCGCGGGATGCTCCTCTCCTCTCCGGGCCGGAGCCAGAGCGGGCCGTGCCCCCGCTGCCGGCCTCCCCTCAGGCCTGCCTCTCCCGGGGACCCCCAGCCCGGCTGGCCCCGGCCACCGGAGGGATGCTGTCGCGCATTGCTGCAGAGCCGCTGAGGACGTGAAGGAGCATCCCGATGGCGGCATTAAGCAGGCGCTGCTCTGCATGCAGCGTGACCGGCTGCACTCAGGGAATTACTGACCAAAAAACCCCAACAAACCGAAACTCCCTCTCCAAGCCCACCCACAAACAAATAAAAAACAAAGAAAACTCTCAAAACATCAACAGGAAAAAAAAAATATCCCAAATCTAACCAAAAACCCGTCTAACCGTGTGTCAAATAGTTTCACTTTCTATCAAATTTGAAAAACTTGCACGAAGTACAGGTCTAAATGCCAAAGGCATAAAGAAATGGTTAGGCAGATAAATTGAAGTAAAAAAAAAATGCAGATAATTAATCACATTGCGATGTATCAATAAAGCGATAATTTAGTTTTGGCGATTTTTTTTAACGCTTATACAAGTCTTTCGCTAGAAATACGCTTCAGATCATTCTCAGGTGCGGTTTTAAATCCTGGAAGGAAGGCTAAAGATAAAGTGCGAGTAAGCGCTAACGAGGATATTCTTTGTTGAGGAAAAATAATGTGTTCCTCGTAAACGGACTCTAATGGCTTGTTTTCATTTCATGCGTACAATTTCCTACCTTCTTTGATGGAGAGTTGATGGGGTAAATAGTCTAATCTTATTCAGTTCACCTCCTGTGGATTCCCAGGGACAGTCGTGACAGACGAAGTATTCTGCAAATCACAAGAGCCAGCTACCAGGAGAGCCAAACCTCTTAATAGGAAGAGTTTTAGGGATTTAAAATTTCTCCATTTAAAAATTCACGGAACATGCAAAAAATAAAGTTCTCTGCATCATTGCAACTTTATGGGCTTTGTTTTCTAAGCTAGATAATTAAAGATTAAAAAGAAAAGAAATAGGCACCAAGATAGGTCAGAAGCAAATCGGAATACCTACCACACGCGGGGATTTGAGATGGCATTGGTCTTTAACTTTTGCTTCCCTTGGCTTGTTTTAAAAATAAAAAGTGATACCTGTCTGAATCTGTTAAAAAAGGAAGAAAAAAAAAAACGGAAAATGGGGAGAGAGAGACAAGTTTACAATATTCATGTGTCCTTGTTCTGCCAGGTGACCTAGGAAAATAATAAAAAATAGTTCAGTTACTCAGTGAAGACGTTGTTGTTTCACTGCATAAACCTTAAGTCAGAGAAACACATACTCTTCAATGCCCGTTCAGTCCTCCGAGCAAGATTCAAATCCTGCTACAGAAACACTTGGAGTGGGGGGGCGTTGCATGTTTATGTGGCAGTTTATTTCTTTTTTTTTTAAGTGCTTCTTAAGCAGTTCGAAGCATAAATAATGAATCTGAGCCTTAGACAGAGGAAATCGCACCCACTAATGTGAACTAACACGACCAAAGTAGGTGCATAATAGACAAGACTAGGAGCTGCTAACCACTTCTACACAATGGCATTAATAAGATTAACCTGGGCAATTAGCCGGTGCAGCAGAGATCAAGCCTAAATCTGGGGCCTTTCTAAAAAGCCCACTAATGGAAAGGATTACGTTAATTTCATTAATTCTCAATACACAGACTCTGGCTGCTTTCACTCCTTTGTGTAACCCCCACCTCTTCCCCACCAAAAAAGGGGAGAAAAAAAAAATCAAATCTGGTTTTGTTTGTCATCTGCATATTACCAGGAACTAAATCCAGGATGACGTCGCCTGGGTATAAAAAAGGGAAGAGGTTCAGATGGATTATACTCCGAGCAGCCCTCTGGGTTGAGATCAGTAAACAGGCGAGAGTTGAGGGGGGAAAGTTCCAGGGGTGGATCCTGCGCACACGCACACACACCGCACACGCGCGCACAGACACACACGCACACTCTGCCCGCAAGCTGCCCTCGGAAAAGGCTCTTTTCTTTGCGCTCCGATCCCTTTTTAAAATTTATCCGAAAAGTTTCGATTTCGCGTCCTTCCAGCCTCTTCCCCCCCCCTCCCCAGCCACCACCTACCCTCCCTCCCGCCCTCCTCCCTCCCTCCCCCGGCCGGTCCCCGCCGCCCTGCCCCGCACGGTTTGGGGCATGCCTGTGAGCATGTTCAGCATCGACAATATCCTGGCGGCCAGACCTCGCTGCAAGGACTCGGTGCTGCTGCCCCCGAGCGCCGCGCCCGTCGTCTTCCCCAGCCTCCACGGGGACTCGCTCTACGGCAGCGCCTCCGACTACAGCGGATTTTACTCCCGGGCGGTGGCTCCCGCCTCCGCGCTGCCGCCGGCCGTCACTGGATCTCGGCTCGGCTACAACAACTACTACTACGGGCAGCTGCATGTGCCGGCGTCCCCCGTGGGCCCTTCGTGCTGCGGGGCCGTGCCGCCCCTGGGCGCCCAGCAGTGCTCCTGCGTCCCCCCCGCAGGTAAGGCGGCCCCGCGTGGGACGGGGCGGACGGGCCCCTTTGTTCCCGCAGCCACGGGGCCGGTGCGGGTGGCGGGAGCCGGAGGCCCGCAGGAGAGCGGGTGGGCGGCGGGAGGGGACACTTTCGGGACGGGACGGGACGGGACGGGACAGGAGTGGGGGGAAGCAGCGATCTCATGCAAAGCCTATCGTCGACTCGTCTGTCTGTCCGTAGGTTACGAGGGCACTGGGTCAGTCCTGATGTCCCCTGTTCCCCATCAGATGTTGCCCTACATGAACGTGGGCACTTTGTCCCGGACGGAGCTGCAGTTACTGAACCAGCTGCACTGCAGGCGAAAAAGACGGCACCGGACTATCTTCACTGACGAGCAGCTGGAAGCGCTGGAAAACCTCTTCCAGGAAACGAAATACCCAGACGTGGGCACGAGGGAGCAGCTGGCCAGAAGGGTGCACTTAAGAGAGGAAAAAGTGGAGGTACTTTGATTTCTTTTTCTTTCTTCAACCCTCTCCCATTCGCCCTCAAACGCGCCCGAACCGGATGTATCGCGGTGCGGCTCCAGCCCGGCTCTGCCAGCGGAGGGGTAGCGACCGCTTTGCGGGGGCAGAGGGAAAGTTTTGTATTATTTCCAAGTGCCCCTCCTTGGGCCGGCCGGCCGAGCCTGTCACAGGGCTGCGAGGGATTGTCGGCCGGCGGCTGTGCCTCCTGAAGGCGCCCGGCCGGTCCCGCCCGAGCGGCTTCCCTCGCCTCCCTCCCTCCCTCCGTCCGTCCGAGTGCGGCCGCCGCACACCGGCCCCAGCAGGGCTCCTGCGGGGCTGAGGTCAGCTGCGGGTTTGCATAGTTTTATTTTTGTTTTTCCCTCTAATAATTTAATTTCTTAACGTAACAGGTTTGGTTCAAAAACCGCCGGGCGAAGTGGAGGAGGCAAAAGAGATCGTCTTCGGAGGAATCAGAAAACGCACAAAAATGGAATAAAGCGTCTAAAACGTCACCGGAGAAGAGACAAGAGGACGGGAAAAGTGACTTGGACTCTGACAGCTGATACTTCTAAGTGGGGGGGACATTTCCCGTGGACTGTCGGATACACTTCAGAGGATGCTACTAATCTTGCACAAGATCTGCCTTGTTGGAGGGGGAAAATATCTGTATATAATGTACAATGCCCCGAGCTAATTCCGTGTAAATAAAATGTGTTGCGGAGGTGTTGCACAGGTAGCCGGCGGCGCGTTTGTTCACTCTGCGCCGCGGGGAGAGGGAGCGGAGAGGGCCAAGGGAGCAGGGAGCGCCGGTGCCCAGCTGCCCGAGGTTCCTCGGTTTTCCGCGGTGCGGCACCGCGGGGTGAACGCCGGCGGAGGGCAGCGCTGGCGGGCGGGGAGCGATGGTGGGACTCGCACCCGGAGGGAAGCGGCCAGGCCCAGCCTGGCAGCGCGGAACGAGCCCGAGAGGCCGGGAGCGAGCCCCGCTGCTCTTCCCGGGGCGGCCCTTGGCAGTCCGGCCGCGCTGGCCCGGCCGCGGCCCGAGCGCTTCTCCCGTCCGGGAGCGCCGCGGTCCCGCCCGCCGCTCCTCCCGCCGCAGCCCGGCCCGCCGGCCACCGTGCCCTTGGGAACGCCCGCAGGCGAAGCGAACCCGGCCCCGCACTTGTTAACTCCTGTGCTTTCCCCTATCTCCCTGCGCTTGAACTTTGCTGAGTTTCCAAAGCGTTTGTCTTTGACCCTCGTTTAGAAAAGCCATCTCTCTTCAGCGGTGTTTAAAGCTGTTGTTAATAAATTGTAGACATTATCAGATTAATTACGCGTATAGGGGAGTACGAGCCCTTGTGTGCTGCTTTTTTCAGGTGTTTCAGAGGAAGTTGCTAATGGAAGTTTTCTCCCCTTTGAGGCAGCACCTTTGCAATTCCGAAAGCAGTGACAGCCTGGTCTCGTTTTACTCTTCCCTCTACGAGGGCCTCGGTCTATTCCCCCTTTAAAATCCACGCTCGTTTTCCTTTCGCTTTTTCCCCTGTGACTCTCCAGCTCAGAGCTTATAATTTCAGAGAGGATCCACAGCGGTTTCCCCATGGTGTTCTGTTTAGGAAGACCCTTCCCTCTCTTTGCCTAAAAGACTGTTCATAAAGTTAAAACAAATAACCTGAAAGTGTAAATCCAATTCAGACGATCTCTGGCCCGAAAACTTCATGCTGTGCCTTTCATTCAAAGTTAAGTCGTAGTGACCTGATTTTTCTTAATTATGGCCAATGCCTAAACTCACCTATATCTATTCATCTCGCCTACTTTAGACAAATTGTTTGTTCACAAATGCTCACCATTACTTCCAGTGACGCGAGAAAGGGTCAACTGCTGTGTTGCTTGCCTTTTTCCTATTTTTCGTGATAGATCCAGGTTTTTATGGGTGTTGTAACATAGTGCATACTGCAGGTGTTAGTGTGATAGAGCCAGTCTTAGTACCTGTCTGCTCAGATAGCTCTTTAATGCCAATGTTTCCACAGAGATGCTGTATCTCTTTCTGAGTGACCTCTCACCACATCAAGATGTAGGAGCAGCTGCTGTGGAAGCAATTCAGTGTGGTTTTGTGTGAGCCAGCCCTTTAGGAGGCTAAGAGGTTCACAGCTACTGCTGTCTTGAAGGGAAAAAAAATTTAGCCTCTTGATCCCCGGCGCAGCAGAGGAGGAAGGGTAAAAACAGATGGATTCTTCTTCTTGGATACATGTGATGGTTTGGTTTTATGGAGCTATTGCATTTTGGAGATTCTACCCTATTGCTATGGATGCATATTTGACCTCTGTAAACTATATTGAATTACAACACAACAGCACTAAAAATTAGTTCTTAAATTGCTGAAAATTAGATTTGAAGAGTTTTGTTATGTTATATGCAGGAAGTCTCAGTGAGTGAATTTTTAATGTCATCACCTCTGTATTTAGTCATTGTTAGGTTTTAAAATGCATACTTAATTTGCAAATAAAAGCCAGGTCTAAGGATAATATTGCCCAAGACTTTACAAATGCTTATATATTTGTGTTACTTCCATGTGTAAATATTTGTTTTGCTTTTTTTTTTTTTTGTGTGTGTGTGGTATGATAATTTTGGAAGTCTCTATTAAAGATGTTAGAATGTAGGAGTTAAGCTAGATCTGGATTTGTAAGAAGTGGGATTTAAAAATATTTTTGATTACTTAGATATTTTCAATGAGAGCAATGGCTCCATTTGTGACCCACAGAAGCTCCGGGTCCCCAAACATGCCAGTTAATGGATTTATTGAGAGCTGTTTGTTATGTGGAAGCATAAGATGTGATGTAAGAATCAAAGCTTTGTATTCCAAAACACAGTTCTAGTCATGGAATTGAATCACCTCTGATTTCTTTAAAATAACATTGTACCGTTGTCTGTATTAATTGTTGAGTTTTCTATAAACTCTTTATTACCATAAGCTTGATCTTGCAGTCACAGGAATCTACTGTTATTACTACAAGTAGGTGTAGATCTACTGAAGCTAATAATATGACTTTAAAGTACAATTGAAAAGCAATTTTAATCTTGACCTAAAAGCTTAATCTTATTTACTGAAAATGGTGTTTGTGCCATTCATAGTAGCTGTCTTATTCTTTTTCTCAGTGGTGTTTGCTGAAAACCTAAAGGTTTTATTCTATCTTTTTTCAGCCTACAAAATGAGATTCTGTGCAATATGGAAGTATGATAGTGAAAAAGTAGTGAGAAGTTTGCATGAAAAGGATCAAGAAAGTTAAAAACTAAATTATTGAAAACATGAGGGGGATTGTAACAAGAAGATCTCTCATTCGCTTGTGCTGTTTTGTTGGCATATTCCACTTCTAGATGTCTGTCTGGATTTTTATTTTAGGAGGATTCCTACATGCCAAAATGCAAATGCCACGTAGCAGCTTTCATTATTTTCTCTTTCTGCTCATGAAGTAGGAACAAATCAAACCAAGAGACCTGAATAGGTGCTATGTTCCAGCAGGTTCAGTTCTAACAAAGGGGCTTTGAAAGAGTTGTTTGTGGTTCTGTTTGTTAACATTTGTCTAAAAGGGGACCAAAAAAGAATTTAAAAAAAAAAATATTTGGTCGGTTTTGTGTGTATCTCCCAGTGCAACTTACAACCTTGTATCTTGGGCAAACATTCTCAGAAGATTGGATGGGACTGAAATGTGCTGTATTGTTCATGGTAGTGAGGCACTGAACTTGGGTTCAGCTTCTTGATGTCTTACTGATTCTCTATGAAATGCTGGACTTCTTTCTAAATTTCTGTCTGTAGAATGAATAATGCTCTTCTCAGACCTCACAAGGGAGTTAGGTTGAGTGGGGGATTATAAGAAGAAGCATAAGCTACTTTGGAGGTTCACCACTGTAGTGCAGGCTTATTCCAGATAATGCTGTGCATTATAGGAGTAATAACTAAATAATTATACAAAAGGA